AAATTAACTGTGCGCCATGTAAAGAAATACTTCCTCTTGCCTGTCCTGAATCTGCCACCTTTCAGCTTCAGTGGATAATCCTGGGCCTGTCCACTCTCTCTGTGCCATACATAATCTATAAATCTGTCATGTCTCCCTTTAAGTAGGGCTGCAATATTACATTTATTAACTTGGGCAGCTAACTGACAAAAGTTTTGGTGGTCTGGACTTAAGGAGTCTCCTGTCTGTGTGCTCAGTATTACCCAGAAACAGAACAAATATTTATTTATTACATTTTAATGTGTTTGTCCTGGCTTCCTCTATGTCAGGAACTTCTCTGTGTCATGGCTTAGGTTGCTGTACATCCCTGATGATGAGAGAGGCCAGCAGTTCTAGTGTCTCTCAGGTGAACATAGTGCAGTAAGCGAGAGTGATTTCCAAACTAGCTCTGACTTGTGCAAACTCTTGCTGAATAAGCACTGTTTGTCTTTAAGCTGTCGCTGGAATTCTAATTAGAGAAGACACAGGCAACAATAACAGGCTCAACTGATTCGTGTCCAAGCTGAATAAACATACTTGCCTGTTAAGAGTTCCTTTGCCCAAATCTAACAAGAATAAACTTGAAAAAGGGCTGTGTGAACCTCTGGCAAAACAATACTGCCTAACTGTTCCCATCCATTTGTAAGTACAGGCTTGCTCGCATATGTACTGGACCACCACACTCTAGGCTGCTAAACTCAAAAGCTCTTGAACAAGAAGCATTCTCACCCCAGACTCAACTTGTGACTCAAGTCTGACTTGGAATGAATGTTCATCTTCAGTTGCACTCTAAAAATGAACATATTGTCATCTCCTGTTGTATTGTAACTGGGCCTTTGTAGTATTTACCAGGGCTTTTTTTGTAGAAAAAGCCCAGCAGGGACTCATTAGCATAATAGGCCACACCCAACAGCAGACACTCATTAGCATAATAGGCCACACCCTTGACAGCACAGCACATTAGCATATTAGGCCGCACCCCCATGTTACCAGAAGTATGGTCATCCAGCCACACACCCCTTTTGCTTCTTATTCTGTTTACCTTGTTGTCAAAACCCAGAGCTATTTTTTGTAGCAGGGACTCCTTTGCATGTTAGGCCACACACCCCTAATGTAGCCAATTCTAATGAGTTTCTGCTGTTGGGTGTGGCCTATTATGCTAATGAGTTCCTGCTGGGTGTGGCCAACTCAGGAGCCAGCAGGAACTCTGTTCCTGTGCGTTCCTGCCCAAAAATAGCCCTGGATTTACTATTAACAGTGGTGTGTGTGTGAGGTGCTGTCCAGTTGTCCTCCAAAGCATCCGAATGTTAACTGCCTTGCTCAGGTCTTACAAAGAAACTGAGGGTCGTGGCTCCCTTTAGTGAGTCAATCCATCTCATGCTGGGTCTTCTTCTGTTCCTGCAGCCTTCAACTTTTCCTAACAATATCGTCTTGTCTTCTCATGATGTGACCAAAGTACTGTAGCCTCAGCTTGATCGTTACAGCTAGGAAGAGCTCAGGTTTGATTTGCTCTAGAACCCACTAATTTGTCTTTTTGGCAGTCCGCAGTATCCATAAAATTCTCCTCCAGCACCAGGTACAGTGCTGCAAGTATTGATAGCACAATGCTTTTTCACTCAAATTCTCCCCTCCCCTCCTTTCCCCCTTTGGGAAAATCGAGAAAAGGCCTCCGGAAAAGAACTTGTTTTTCAGATTTTTCCAGGCCTTCACATCTCTAGACAAAAAGTATCCCTGTAACAAGGCTCGAAGACAACTGATAGTTCTTGAGAGATTGCTCTCCATGGTGTGCACACCGTCTTTTGTTCTGCTGTCACCTTCCAATATTTTATTTACTTCATTTAAAGCCCCCACTTTTATTCTCATTTGGGGGATCCAAAGCCGCTCACAACATTGTCCCCATCTCCATTTTAACATCATAGCAACCCTGTGAGGCTGAGAGGCCCAAGTTCACCCAGCAAGCTGCCAAAGGCAGAGCGGGGATTCAAACCTGGGTCTCCCAGATCCTAGTCAGACACTTTAACCACTGCCTCACTCTGTCTTCTCTTGTGTCCTTATAAAGGGGAGTAAAATTTGAGCAAGTAAAGAACAGTTGGCAGCCAGTTTTTCAAGTCTTGCCTCTATAAAGCCATCTCATTCTAAAAGGTTTGTGCCCTGCTCTCTCCGTGGGTTCAGCGGTTTGCGGCTGTTTTTCCAACTGTAAATACTTCTGCCCTCCTTGGGCCCAGCTGTCCCTTCAGGCTACAGGAAATACTATGAAAAAGGGAGCAATTTTTCTCCTCAACCCCCACCCCCAGATTTCTTTTTCGATCTTCCCATCTTTACAGGGTGCATATCTTTCTCCTGGCTGCACCAAATGTGGTGAAAACAGAGAGAAACAATAACGGCTGCCTTCTGCCTAGCAACGTGGAGTAGCTTTTGTTAGCTAAATGGCAGTTACCTCACAGGACAAAAAACCCTCAAAAGACCCAAGCTTTCCTTTTTGGTTTTGCAGTGCCTGGAAGTTGTCCAGTCGGCATCAGCCAAAGAGGTTTTTGAAACGGAACCTTTCCCTTTTCACTTCATCTAGGCCGCCTTCGATTTTTGCGCTCGTGTTTGAGTTTCCTGCGATTTCTTGCTCTGTGAATGTCTCTTACATTTGTTTTTTAATTCCTCTTTCAAAAGCCTCTTGGTGAGTCCTGAATCCAAACAAAAAACATCTATCAGGACAGTCCTTTGGCTGACCTTCCTGTTTCTCCCATTGTTCAGAATTCTCCCAGGCCTTGTTTTGACACGGTTTATAAGCAGAAGAAATTTGGTCGGCTGGTGTGCAGCCATTGTATTATGCTAATCCGGGGCCTTGCAGGGCTTGTTTGGCAAAATTTTTTTGTAGCAGGAACTCCTTTACATGTTAGGCCACACACCCCTAACGTAGCCAATCCTAATGAGTTTCTGCTGTTGGGTATGGCCTATTATGCTAATGAGTTCCTGCTGGGCGTGGCCAACTCAGGAGCCAGCCGGAACTCCGTTCCTGTGCGTTCCTGCCCAAAAATAGCTCTGCCGATAACATTATATAATATATGTATTGTTCCAGATACTTAAAATAAAAATATTAAAATGTAAAAAAAAATACCCTCTGATTTATTTTTTTTGGTAGGTTCATCACATAGGTGTGAAACCCACTTCGTCTTACCCTCGCGGTACCCATCCAGGCTGCAAACCTTATTCCAGGAGTTCCCCAGCCTTTTTGACCCTGTGGGCAACTTTGGAATTCTGAGGCGGGGTTCTGGGCACACATACAAAATGGCTGTGCCAGGAGGCAGAGCCAACCGCAAAATGTCAGTGAATGAAGCTATGCGTAGCTCTCATAGTAACTCTTCACCCTTTCAGGCAGAAGCCCTGTTTAACAGGACCCCTTGATCTGCACTGCCAGTCAGAAGCACTGCTGGGCAAAAGCCCCATCTGGCCCCGACCACTTTCTAAAAACACTTGGAGGGCGCCAGGAGAGATGTCAACAGGCACCACTGTGCCCACAGGCACCACGTTGGGGACCCCCGTCTTACTCCATCTAAACAGGCTCTGGTACCAATGCTATAGTATCCCATAGTTTGTTTTTTTAATGTACTCTGTTGTTGTATTTTGTCATAAATCTTTCACGGGGCTCTTGTAGGACACAAATGCTTTCACGAGGTCCTCGGCAGGGGAATGGGATGTCACCCTAAGGGGAGAAGACAGTAACAGATGTCAGGGGAAATAGGTGGTGGTTGGCTCGGTGCGCAGCAAGGGAAGGTTAGTACTCCAGACATTAGCTTATCTCTTCTTAACAGGTATTACTCCTCCTAAGCATTGTGCTAGCGTTTGACTTGGCAGAAGGGAGAAGCCAGGGACCAAACCTCTTCATGCCACATGAGAGCCAGTTTGGTGTAGTGGTTAAGTGCACGGACTCTAATCTGGGTGAACCGGGTTTGATTCCCCACTCCTCCACTTGCACCTGCTGATGTGACCTCGGGTCAGTCGCAAGCTCTGGCACAGCTGTCCTTGAAAAAGAGCAGTTTGTGTCAGAGTTCTCTCAGCCCCACCCACCTCACAGGGTGTCTGTTGTGGGGAGGGGAAGGGGAAGGAGCTTGTAAGCCGCTCTGAGACTCCAAGTGAAGGGCGGGGTATAAATCCAATCTCCTCCTCCTCCACATGCCCCAGACACCAGGCTCCTTGAGCTTTGCATCCACTAGTGTATACAACGAAGCATTCGTGTAATTTGGTCACTGTATCACCACATATCTGACGAAGGGAACGCCGTCTCTCAAAAACTTACACCCGGAAGATCTTGTTGGTCTCTACGGTGCTACCAGACTCGAACCGAGCTGTTCTACTGCAGACCAACACGGCTGCCCTCTGAAACGATCAGGGGTCATTTGGGGGGGGGACGCGGGGGGCCCCCACCCCCCC